GGACAGAAGACAAAGGAAGGGAAGAGGTGGCATGAATTAAACCTTTCCTTGATACAGACGAAATGGTACCATCAGCAATACGCACTTTTTCCTTACCTGAGGAGGGGTTATACTCTGAAAATAAATTAGAGGAGCTAGACATATGGTCGGAAGCACCAAAATCAATAATCCATGATACAGTCGTATGAGAGAGCAATGCACATGGAGAGGAAGCCAAGTTACTTGAATTGGCAAAGGAAGAAGAGGATACACCTATAGCAGAAGTGAAGGCTCGACGGTCTAACAAGTGGCGAAAAGCAATCTCAAAATTCGAGGCAAATAACCTTGAAACATCAGCAGCGGAGGATACAACTAGAGATGAAGATGGTGGCTTAATAGTGTCTAAAAGATGGGCTCGTGCATTGGCCCCTCGGCCTTTAGTATCAGACCGACCCCCTCGAGTACCAGGATGGTCTCCTTGGCCACCAGAGGGAGTTCCATGTAGCTTCCAACAAGCCTTTCGTGTCTGGCAAGGTCGACGACAGTAGTTACAATAAAGATTATCCTTCTCAGAGGAAGGACGAGAACCTGAGTCACACGGCCGCCATCGCGAGAGGGTGCAGAATCATTTGCCAAGGGCCTCACTCAGACTTATGGGATAGATTATCAGGAAACATTTGCACCAATTGCTAAGATGAACTCTGTGAGAATCTTAGGCTCCGTTTGGTAGAGCTTTCCAAGGTTAATTCTACCGCTTGGTTTGAGGTAGGTGTTTGGTTAAAGTTTTCAAAAATTGATTTGACACCCACTTTTACAAATACATCTATCCAGTCATCTCATCCTCCCGAACGTTCGGCCAGTTGACCGAAACAATGTTCGTTTTTTTATTTTTTATTTTTTTTGCACCTGTTATTTTTATATTTTAAATAAAAAAATTAATTTTTTATGAGTTTTGAATAGAATTTTGAGTTAGGTGTTTGGTTATGAGTTGTAAGTTTTTTAATCAAATATCATATGTCACATCATTCATTTCAAACTCAATTCAAAACTCTTTTCAAAACTTATATAACCAAACAAATTTTCCACACTCAAATCATAAATCTAAAACTCTATCAAACACTACCTTACTCTCTCTTGCTAAAAATTTAAATTGGCCACTTCATCAATTTGATGTAAAGAATGCCTTCCTTCTTGGAGACCTAGCAAAAGAGGTCTATATGGATATTCCCCCTAGTTTTGCGGATGCTAAATCCAAAGGTAAAGTATGTAGGCTTCGAATGTCACTTTACGAACTAAAGCAGTCTCATAAGATTTGGTTTGAAAGGTTTGCTCAGGCTATGCTTAAATATGGGTTCAAGCAAAGTCAAGCTGATCACACCTTATTTGGGAAACACTCCTCACATGATAAGACCACAATTCTCATTGTTTATGTTGATGATATTGTTCTGACCGAGGATGATGTGGAGGAGATTCCTCGGTTAAAGGAATACTTAGCCAAGGAGTTTGAAATCCAAGACTTGGGTAGTTTGAAGTATTTCCTAGGTATTGAAGTAACTAGGAGCAAGGATGGCATCTTCATATGTTAGAGAAAGTATATACTTGACTTGCTAAAGGAAACTGGATTACTTGGAGGTAGAGCATGTGATACACCTCTAGAACCAGGCCAGAAACTCAGTGAGGATCAAGAGGGAGAGCCAGTGGACAGGGAGAGATATTAGAGACTAGTGGGTAAGCTCATATACTTATCCCACTCACGTCCAGACATTGTCATTGCCGTGAGCATGGTGAGCCAGTTTATGCATACTCCTAGAACTTCCCACTTAGAGGCAATTATGAGAATTCTGAGATACCTGAAGTCTTCTCCTGGAAAAGAGTCTCTATTTTTCAAAACATGGCCATCTCAATGTGGAGGCATTTACTGATGCAGATTGGGCTGAATCAGTCAATGACAGACGATCAACTTCCGGATGTTGCACATTTGTTGGTGGGAACCTAGTTACATGGCGAAGTAAAAAACAGAATGTGGTTGTCAGATCTAGTGCTGAGGTAGAATTCAGGGCTATGGCTCAGGGTGTATATGAGTTACTATGGATTAAACTATTGTTGGGAGATTTGGAAATCCATCAGACTGACTCCATGCGACTATACTGTGACAAGAAGGCCACAATCAACATAGCTCATAATCTAGTTCAACATGATAGAACTAAGTATGTGGAGATTGATAGGCACTTTATCAAGGAAAAACTTACTAGTGGCATCATATGCATTCCATTTGTAAAGACTAGAGATCAACTAGCCGATACTCTCACTAAGGGGCTAGGGAGCAAACCAATTCATGACATTCTCAACAAGCTGGGCATGAGAGATATCTTTGCACCAGCTTGAGGGGGAGTGTTAGAATAAGAAATAAGTTAGAATAGAAAATAATTGATTGTATTTTATCCTTATTTATTCCCTTGATTGGTGTAATGGCTGGACCATATATTAGGCATTATGTCACTCCTGTAATTACTCAGTATTATCAATATAAGAGGGAATGAAGTCTGACTCATTCCCTAACTCTTTTTCTTCTCTAAACCTACACCACTTCCCCAACAAAGCAAAATTAACAATACACAACCCCACACCCCCAAGCCCCCTACCTCCATTGGCCGACAAATACACTCCCAAATAACTAAATGATACCTAAACACATCCCTGCCTCCTCTCCACAAAAAATCCTGCTACAACTTCTCCAAACTATGCGCCACTAACACCGGAATCACATGCACCGGTATTTTATATTTTCTTTGCTTTTTCATATACCTACTTAATTTCTTGTAAACATACTATATTAACTTTCCTTCTAAACATTGCGTCTACTAATTCCATAGTTTTATCTGTTAGTGTCCCTATATTCCAAGTTACTAATCTAAACCTACAATGTTGGCAAACTTCTTTACCTGCATTCATCCAAGAAAGCACAAGGACCTTTGCCTATTTTCACCTCACCCGGGTGCCGATTTGGCATCACTTGCCCATTTGACCACTAAATAAATCCGTACCATAATCCCAAAAAATAGTTGATGTTAACTCTTACAACTAATTCTAGAAATCCTGCATCTTTGGAAAACCAACAAGAAATTTAAGAAAATATAATTGTCTATGTTCATAATAGGGCTGTTCATATAACCGAACCACCCGAAAAAACCACCCAACCTGACCAATCTGAATGTGTCACGGACAGTTTCAAAGCTCCTTTGGTCGAAATCGGGTCAGATTCAGCAAATTTATTCAACTTATGGTCGAGTCACGAGTGTGGCGAAGGACAATCCATCAAACTCGAACCGAACTGACATTTGTACATGGTGCTGAGGTTTCTACATGTTGGCTCAGTTGATGACATTTATGTTTCCAAGATTCAGCCTTATCTGAGGATTACATTTATCTTTTCAAAGACTCTTGTCTTTCCAAGACTTTCAGCCTTACCACCTTCCTCCCTCAGACTTCCACTTTGCCTCTTTCACCCTTTCATTTCCCTCACACCCTCTTGTGTCTCTCAGAGCTCCCATATTCTCACCCCTCTCGTCTCTTACCTTCTCATACTCTCACCCTTTCATCTGATTACAGGAACCCCTTCCCCTTTAATCTCCTTCTAGCGGCGATTGTGCTAATCGATGTATGATGGTTCTCTATGACATGATGACCATGGTGCGCACTGCTCAAATCCAAAAGAATGTGATGATGGTTCACAGATTTCTGACGACGTTTATGACAATGAAAGCTTTCCCCTCTCTGATCTCCCTCATCCCTTTCTTTCTCATCAAGTTACCCCTAAACTTCACCACTGCATTTTTCTTTCCGAATCTTGATTTTTTTTTTTATGAGAAGTGAGATGATTTTTTGGGATATTTGTTATAGGTTTGTCACTACTGCACCTCTGCAATTGTTTTTTTTTTTTTGCTGGTTAGATGCACTATACTTTATTATTCAGTTTCACTCAATCTGACCAACAAACCGTACAACCCAATCTGTGGGGGTTCGAGCAATACAACGGTCAAAATCATATGGATTTTCTTTCAGCCCAATCTGGTCGGGGTGGGGGTTCGAGCAATACAACGGTCAAAATCATATGGATTTTCTTTCAGCCCAATCTGGTCGGGTCGAGTAATGAGGGGACGGTAAAACCAATCCAACTCCAACAGCCCTAGTTCATAGGATGCCCTATAATGTCAAAAAATGAACATGAACAATCCATATGCATTAATATTCTGAAATTTTCTAAACTGTTTCACAATCGGTAAACCAAACCAAGTCTTAAGTCCCATCAAATAGGGTTAGCTACATGAATCCTTCTTCTCTACTCGACTCTATCGGCATTCATTTGGTTAGTCAAATTCAAGAGATTCATATCTCTACTTACTACACTACCACTTCATATTAAAAAATTCAAAAACATTTTTATTTTAGAGTTCAAGATCGAAAATTGATTAGCATCATCCAGTTATTCACACGAATGAGCATGGTAATGTGTCAACAGCACAAGAAAGAAACGCAGAGAAATTTATTTTGATCCTTCATCAAACCATCAAGACATATCAGGAATAGTTCTGAGTCACAGCCAGAACACAGGTACCAAAATCCCAAGAAAATTAATAAAATTAAAATAGTGATAGTAAAATAGAATGGCAAACTAGAGTTAGGAAAAGAGAATGTATTCCATCTTTAATTATGGAACACATAAATACCACATGGTGGATCTTTCTCGAGCTCAGCGCAAGAATTTTTTTATTAGCAGCAGCACATAAGATACAACTATGCAAGTTCCGTAGTCACGAAAAATACTGTTCCCGGTTTATTCTTTGTGATGTCATTCATAGCCTAAGATGCCACATCATCAAGAACCTGATCCCAGTTACCAGGTTGAAGGGGAAGATGCATACACTTCTACAATATCTCATTAACTTTCAAAAATTGACTTAGAAAGCAGCAAATTGAGATTAAATTCATAACGACCAAAGCTAAAAGGAGGTGACAATCACCTGGATTTTTCTCAGAAGGTTTCAAAATAAATGTATTGCCACATGTTACTGCAATAGGAAACATCTGCAAAAACCATAAAACACATTCAGATTTGAAGTTTTTTGTCTTCCTCTCTATAGAATACATACACAATTCTTGAAAAAGAATACAACTATAAACTATTATCAAGTTTGTCCACTTTAGCATGAATTTTCCATGAAGCAAGATGGCAACTATATAAACTCTGAAGGGCAGAGAAATTGATTGTGTGGTAAACGAGACTAGTCAACACCAGCCTAATCTGAAATTTGACAGGGAAAAAAAAGCACACAACCTCATATGAGAACTAGACAAATATGACAGACATACCCATAAGGAAATCATTGCTGGAAAGTTGAAGGGACAGATCCCAGCACAAACACCCAGTGGTTCTCTAATGCAGTAGGTATCAATTCCATTAGATGCATTGGGAACAAACTCCCCCATTTGGAGACTTGCCATTCCACAAGCATGTTCAACCACCTCTACAAACACAGCCAAAAAATTAAAAAGCAGAATCATGATAACCTGGGTTCAGGATTTATTTATTCATAAATGCTAACCTAAACCACAGAGTACGTCGCTTTTGGCGCCATTCAAAGTCTTCCCCTGCTCTGTACTGATGTTCATGGCAAGCTTATCCTGAAAATAAGGTAATTGCCTTTGATGCAGTCAAAATTCATGACGCCAAAGTAAAAATAAAATAAAATAAAGAAAAACCATTTTTGCATAGTTACAATATCTCTGCGAATGAGCTCTTGAAGCTTGAACATGATGCGTTGACGAGCAGTAACAGGTGTGTTCTTCCACAAAGAAAAAGCTTGTTTCGCTGCACTAACTGCAGCTTTGAACTCTTCATAGGTAGTTAAAGGAACTTGAGAAACCACCTCTTGTGTTGCCTAATTAAACAATAAAGCATAAGACTACATCACTGTGAATAGCTCTTCAGCGGAAAAAACAATATAAATATAGAATCTGCTGGAACATGTTTTCTTACGGGATTTATGACATCAATTATTGCACAAGCTTGTGAATCCACAAATTTCCCTTCAATAAGATTAGGAACCTTCAGCTATATTCGAATTGACGAGAGCGAGTGAGAGAGGAAAACAAAACAAAAGTCAAAATGCCCTTTAAGTTAAGTGAAGAGAAACAAAAGAGATATTGAAAGAGGGGAAAAATTTTAATCACAGTAATATCTTTCTCCTTTCACATCAAAACATACTGGACAGTCTTGTTTTGTTGATGCTTCCGTAGACGTGCTAACAAGCACAGATCTATTGGGTCTCCATGATTTTAAACTTTTCTCTGCAAAATCAAAAAGATTCTCTCTAAAATCATGCAGAAAATTTTGACTACAACCAACTGATTCACTGATTTTTTAGATTATTAGGAATGGCCATTGGTCAATCCATTTCTCATTTTGTCTTACAGAACTTGAACTTAAAGATGCCTACCAAAACAATTCACCACTGGCACTTAAAACAGATTCCACTCAATTCTCATGCATATGATGACCCCATTTTATAGGCACATTTCTTGAAGGCTAAAGACAACAGTCATTCATGCCCAATTTTTACAAGCCCACATAAAAAAGACAGGAAGAATAACAAAAGATAAAATAAAACTCAACAAGAACATTGGATCACAGGCTGATGAAACTCCTCAGCCATTAACAGCACTACGATGAGTTCAAATTTCAGTAATCACTGTCCAGTTCTGTTTGACCAGAAACCATACTAAACATCATTACTATCTCAGATTTCTTCTCACAAAGCCACAATGGAAGGGGGGAAAAGAATATGTGTGGCACAAGCAAGTCCCACTTGTATAATTAATGCGTCTGAACTCTGAAGTATTGTTATTCCAACAAACCTAATGAAGCACTAATTTTCTTAATTTCATTGCAAGAAAATTCTATCTCCTAAAGTATGAACTTCATGTTACTTGATTACTAAACAATTACCATCAATTAGGAAAAAAAATCTATTGGCCATCAAGTCATTTCAGAAGCAGCAACATCCAACCAGAGGCTATGATGGTACAAATTAAAGCATTGAGGCAACTCTATCATCTCTTTCATCTAAAAAAGTTTGGGTAAGGGTTTGACCTGTTAAATTTCCCAGACGGATCTTAGCTTTGAGGTTGTACAAATGCCTTGGTGTCGACTGAAGCTCCGGATTACTTTGTTTGAGAGACTTGAGCACTTGACGTGGCTTTATACCTTCGTCAATCATTTGTTTGATTTGCCTCACCTCTTCCTCACTAAAACGACGACTATACGGATGCTCGGACATGTCTTTGAGTGGTTCATGGTTGTGTTCACTATTTTTTATGATAAGTACCCACACATCATCTTCCTTTTTACCTATGGCTTCAAAAGGACAATTAATGAGGCGTGAATGTGCTTTTCTTTTGCGTTTGTTTTCTTCAATCTTGCGCCTATTGCGATAAACACCTCCTCTGTCACAACCGAGTATAACTCTTCTATCCTTCCTGGACTTTTTAATAGTCACCACATATCCTTGGTTGGCCCCAAAATCACGAACATGTCTGATAAGGTCTTCACGATCCTGAAAAGTTCCAGGAGGTGGTGGAAGCATCTTTTCCCCAGTAACCTCTGAGTGACTTTGACTTTCCATCATCAATGGCAGACAGCAAGAACCTACAACAGCAAAAATAAATAAATAAAAAGGAGAAGAAGAAGAGAGAGTAAGCACCCCTCTAAAATCATTTTATATGAACTTAAAATGACCCAAATGGAAAAGAAACGGTTTAAAGAATCAATAGTAACTAGTCATAGAACTAAAAGCATTTCATTGTTTTGTTTTCTTAGGAAAGAACAACTCCATCAAACATTACTTCAATCAAGTTGTTTCAAGCATCATGCCTTAAATTCAAAAGGTCGAAGAGCTTGATAGATATTGGACACCACAGAAAAAACTAGCATCTCAATTTCTGCATCATAATAATTACTGTACATGAGGACTCTCTCAGAGTGTCAACCTCCAAAACAAGTTTACATGCATCCAACTAAGGTGCTCCAACTCTAGAGATGCCCATGCAACGTAAGACATAACACAGTCTCCTAATGGAAAGCATATATAAATATTCATGACAAAATTAACGTGTATACATGACTACTTATACAATCATGAAAATCAAGTCAACAATCTAGTCCCTAAGGTCTACCAGTTGAGGGCACTCCTCTTTTTCAATTTATTTTATTTTATTATGTAAATTGGCTAATCACCACTAGAATCAATTACAATGAAGAGTCAAATACAACAAATTACAAGTACAATGAACTGCCAAAATGGGCAAGAGAGACCCCCATGCAACAAAAGAAAGAGCCCCCAAAGTGAGGGACATTAGGCTGTTGAAGTCACCAATTCTCCCAAAAACTTAAGTTGTTATGAAATCAACCCAACAATGTATATCAAGCTATCTAACACCTGTTAGAATATTTCATTGTTTCCTTATTTAGATTAGATTCTGATTGATTGATTGATTGATTGTGATTCCTTAATCAATTAATCAATCAATAAATATAAAAGGTAATTCCTTAATCAGTGCCTTAGGGCTTCCTTTTGTAACAGTTGATATAAAAGGTGACGATATCATAATCATCACTCAAGCTTTGCATTCTCTTAAATTACATGGTATCAGAGCCAAAACCCTACAAACCATCACCCACACAGCCGCTGCCACCAACCAGCCATCACCTATCACTACCCATCCTCCACCACTGGTCCCTGAGTCTCTGTCGGAACCAGTCAAGGTCCCATAGAGCTGTTTCAACTTTAGCCGAAGGCTCCTCTAGCCTAGTCGACCCTTGTGAGGGCTGTCCTACCCAAGTTTCTTTCCCTCTACTTTCTTGAACACAATTCATCACTAGTTTTGATTGGAGGTTCGTTTTTCCATATTTGATTTATTTTTTGGGTCCACAGATGACACATTAATATGATTGTTATGCTCGCATAGTGGTCTGTATGTGATTTTGCTTGTTCCAGCCCATTCCATTCCTCTTTCCATTTTTGTGATTCGTGCAAGGTTTTTTGGATTGAGATTGTAGAGTTCTTATAGCTGACCTAACTAGTGAATCTCCCACTACTTCTGACCCATCTAAAAGGGAGAACTCCAGTCCAATTATGACTACTATATCTGAAAACCTGAACCCTAACCTCAAAATCACCGCCGTTCTGTTTAATAGTCAGAATTACCTTTCATAGTCTCAGTGTCTGACACTTTTTCTGAAGAGTAAAGGGAAGATAGAATATGTTAATAGGAGAGTTCAAGCACTAGGTATTACGGATCCTGGCTATGACCAATGGGAGATTACCAACTCTTTAATCACGGGGCGGCTCATTCATTACATGGTTCTTGAAATTGGTGAAGGCTACTTATCCATGGATACTACCCAGGATATTTGGGAAGCAGTCGCTGCGACATATTCTCAAAAAGGGAATTTTTCTCTATCTACACCGGTTTATTGAGCGCTCGTACAGGGGAAGCAGACAGTTCTCCAGTATTACACATTTCTGACTAATGGTTGGAAACGCCTAAATCATATCCTGGATTACAAACAGTTGACTCAGTTGGTAACCAAAAGTTTCTTGCACAGGAGAGGGTCTTCAAGTTTCTAGAAGGCCTCAATGTGGAGTTTGAACCAGTCCGGAGTTGTGTCCTTAGCATGGATGTTCTTCTATCACTTCAAGAGGCCTTTGCATATGTATAGAATGAGGAGAGTCGTCGTTCTGCTATGTTACCACCAGCTACTGGAGACCATTCAGCATTACCTTTTGCTCCTTCTCGAGATGGGACTGGTTTGTCACTACCTCTTTTCCATCCTTCAGGGAAGGATACTGTGTTCTATGATTACTACCGCAAGCCGCTATACTCGTGAGACATGCTGGAAGCTTCATGGGACTCCATCAGGGAGTCGGGGTGATCGGTGTATGGTACTAGAGGCAGTTGATCAGGCCGATCTAAAGGACATGGCTCTAATCCATGGGCCCATCAGTCTAGTGCCGTTGACACCCTTGATTCTACTTTTGCTTCAATTGGTCCGACTTTTGATAATTTATCTAGCATGACTTCTCCTGAGCTTGAGGATGTTCTGCGTCATTTGTTGGTCCGCCGATCTTCTACTGCTCCCAGTGTATCTTTCTCGTCGTTTGCCCGCTCAGGTAACTTAGCATTTTCTCCTAGTGCTTTTCTTTCCCATAAGTCTTTGCTATAGATTATTGATTCTGGTGCCTCAGATCATATGTCTGGGTCTTCTAACCTTTTCTCAGCATATAAACCCTCTTCAGGTCAAAACAAAGTTAGAATTGCAGATGGTATTGTTTCTTCTATCTTTGGGAAAGGTTTAATTCATGTCACTCTTATCTTACCTTTGTCTTCAGTGCTTCATGTTCCCAATTTTTCTATTAATCTTCCATCCTTGAGTCGTATTACTAAAGATTTGAACTGTAGTGTGACATTTGTTCCTGGCCATTGTCTTTTTCAAGGCCTTGTCACGAAGAGGACGATTGGCAGTGGTATTGCAGGAAATGGTTTCTATTTCTTGGATCAGCCGAACAAGCTTGCTAATCATTCCATTTAGATCCCAACCACCAAGGAGGATTCATGGCTATGGTATCGGCATCTTGAACATCCTTCTTTTCATTTACTTAGGCATTTATTTCTGTTTGTTTTTACAAACAATAATATGTCTAAGTTTCTTTGTGAGTCTTGTCAACTTGGCAAACAACACTGAGCTTCTTTTGCTCCAAGTCTTAATAAAAGTTTAGCTCCTTTTTCTTTAATACATTCTGATATGTGGGGTCCATCTCGTGTTATGTCTTTAAAAAGCCATAGATGGTTTGTTCCCTTTATCGATGATTTTTCTCGTACTACTTGGGTGTATTTCATGAAAGAAAAAAGTGAGGTTTCTCTGTATTTTAAAATTTTCATAAAATGATTTGTACTCAGTTTGGAGTAATTGTCAAAATCTTGTGTTCTGATAATAGGGGTGAATACATCGATTCAGGATAACAGAGCTATTTTTCCACTCACGGCATTATACATCAGACATCTTGCACTAATACCCCTCAACAAAATGAGGTTGCAGAACGCAAAAATTGTCATCTTCTTGATATGGTTCGCTGCATGTGTTTTTCTATAAGTGTGCCTCGGTCCTACTAGGGTGAGGCCGTTCTCACCTGAGCTTATCTCATTAATCGTCTTTTTACCCAAGTTTTGCAAAAACAATCTCCACTTCAAGTCCTTTTCAGCTCAGAGTCTTTGTTTTCCATTCCCCCTATAATATTTGGCTGTCTGTTTTGTCCACAATCATTCTCCTACTCGTGGAAAGTTGGACCCTCACTCTCTCAAGTGTGTTTTCCTCGGATACTCGCCTACTCAAAAAGGGTATAAGTGTTATCACCCTCCATCTCGTAAGTGGTTTGTGTCCATGGAGGTCACCTTATTGGAGTTCCAATCCTACTTTCTGTCTTCTCCGGTGTCACAGTCATCCCTTCAGGGGGAGCCTTGGTGTGAAGAGATTCCTGTTGTCCCTGTTGCTCCTATGGTGGAACCAGTTGTTCTTGCACCACTTATTACTGGGACTATAGAATCCAATGCCACCAAGGATAGGGGAGGGCAAGTTTATGTCAGGGACAAAGACAAACAGAAGTTACTTGGATACCAGAGACCATTTCTACTCACCCACTGCCATCTCCTGTTTTTGATAAGAGCCCAGGTAACTTTAAACCACTTGTTTCTCTTGAGTCTACTGATATTGCTATTCCTGACACTACTGATCTTAATATTCCTATTGCCAAAAGAAAGGGTGTGAGATCTTATACTCAAACATCCTATCTCGAACTTTGTGTCCTACTCTCATTTGTCTTCATCTTATAGAGCCTTTGTGTCAAACATTTCCTCTATTAGTATTCCTAACCATTTTCATGATGCTCTTGCTACCTCTGAATAGAAACTTGCCATGATTGAGGAAATGAAAGCACTTTGTAAGAATGACACTTGGGAATTAATTGAGTTACCTAAGAGCAAACAACCGGTGGTGCAAATGGGTGTATACAGTGAAGCACGAAGCAGATGGTTCCATTGAGTGTTACAAGGCTTGACTTGTGGCAAAAGGCTTCACTCAGGCTTATGGAGTAGACTATTAGGAGACTTTTACACCAATGGCTAAGATGAATTCAATTAGAATACTTCTCTCTAAAGCAGCTAAATTAGATTGGCCACTTCATCAGTTTGATGTAAAGAATGCTTTCTTACATGGTGATCTAGAAGAAGAGGTATATATGGATATTCTTCCTCGTTTTGAGGATCATCAGACAGAGGGTAAAGTATGCAGGCTTCGGAAGTCGTTATATGGTCTCAACTAGTCTCCAAGGGCTAGGTTTGAGAGATTCATTCTGGCTATACTTAAATATGGTTTCAAACAGAGTCAGTCAGATCACACTTTGTTTGTGAAACATTTCTCATATGGTAAGATTACGGCTCTCATTGTTTATGTGGATGACATAGTGCTTACAGACGATAATAGTGAGGAAATACCCCTATTGAATAAATATTTAGCTAGTAAGTTTGAAATCAAAGACTTGAGGAACTTGAAATATTTTCTGGGAATCGAAGTTGCTCGCTCCAAAGATAGGATTTTCATCTCACAAAGGAAATATGTTCTTGACCTTTTGAAGGAAACAAGGATGCTTTGATGTAAGTCCTGTAATACTCCACTGGAACCTAATCAGAAACTTGGTGATGATGAAGGAGGAGGAGCTGTTGATAGGGGGACGTTAGCAACGACTAGTGGATAAGCTCATTTACTTATCTCACTCTCGTCCTGATATTGATATTGTTGTCAGTATGGTTAGTCAGTTTATGCATGCTCCTCATCAAATTCACTAAGAGGTTGTTATAAGAATTCTGAAGTACTTGAAATCTTCTCCTGGAAAGGGCCTTTACTTTTCCAAACATGATCACCTCAGAGTGAAAGCCTATACAAATGCTGATTGGGCAGGGTCAATAACTGATAGGAGATCTACATCAGGATATTGTACCTTAGAAACAAAATGTGATGGCTAGATCGAGTGCAAAAGCTGAGTTTAGAGCTATAGCACAAGGTGTGTGTAAACTCTTGTGGATCAGATTGTTGTTGAGTGATCTGGGAATGGGCCAGACAGACTCTATGCGGCTATATTGTGACAATGAAGCTGCCATCAACATAACTCACAATCTTGTTCAACATGACAGGACAAAGCATGTTGAGATTAATCGCCACTTCATCAAGAGTTGTAGTTTATGTTTTTCTAAAAATAAACAAAAACTAGTTTATAAAATTTTTATAAATATAAACTGAAAACGTAAACGTTACCAAACACACCCTATGTGGCTATATTGTGATAATGAAGCTGCCATCAACATAACTCACAATCTTGTTCAACATGACAGGACAAAGCATGTTGAGATTAATCGCCACTTCATCAAGAAGAAACTCACTAGCAGCATGATATGTACTCCTTTGTGAAGTCAGGCAAACAACTTGCAGACATCCTCACCAAGGGAGTTGGGAGTAAAGCATTTCATGACATTCTAGGCAAGCTGGGCATGCGAGACATCTTCGTACTAGCTTGAGAGAGAGTGTTAGAATATTTCCTTATTTAGATTAGATTGTGATTGATCGATTGATTGACTAATTCCTTGATCAGTCAGTCAATCAATCAATATATAAGGTAATTCCTTAATCAGTGCCTTAGGGCTTTCTTTTGTAACAGTTGATTGACTAATATAAAAGGTGATGATATCATAATCATCACTCATGCTTTGTATTCTCTTAAATTACAACACCCTCCATCACGTGCAACCTTGTCTTACAGATGGAGAGAAACAAAAAACCAAATAGAAGGAGAACAACCAAAGGGGGACAGAGAATACAAAATGCCAAGGAGGAAACTTGACCCAAGACCTCTACCAACGTTGAGCTCTGATACCATATTAAGTCACCAATTATCCCAAAAGCTTAAGTTGTTAAGAAATAGGCCCAACAATGTATATCAAGCTATCTAACAGAGACATCAATCTTTGTTGAGCAGGGATTGACACTTTGATCTCGCATTTTGGAGAGTGAGGAGTGGGATGGATGGCCAACCGGGCTAGCCCTAGTTGATTGATTAACAGCATTCCTTAATCAACCACAGTTCTCCTATAAGCTTTCATTGATGATTGAGTCTATTTAATATCTTTTCTTTCGAAGAAAGAAGTTGTCTTCCAAATATGCTAGCTTGCTCAATAAACTGTTGGTATCTAAGCATTATAACTGACCCAATGTTCTCGTTTGGGGAGTGGCTATTTTAGCCAAAAAGCCAAAAAGCCAACTAAAAAAAACTAGTATGTTTGGGATGACTTTTTGACTTTTTACGAAAAGATGTGCAAAAAGTAGAGAGAAAAGAGAATCTTTGACTTTTTGGTATAGGTTGTTGGCTTTTTGGCTAATTTAATAACTTTTTGACTTTTTGGCTAAAATAGAGGGTTCCCAAACGAGGCCTAAGCATTATAACTGACCCAATGTTACATTGAATCTTCTATTTTTCCTATAGTACCTACTAAGACAGGCGACACAACACGAACATATTGACACAATATTTTTTTTTTTAAATATATGTAGGTCAAAATAAGCATGGAACATGTTGAAAAATTATGTTCTAATAAATTTATTACATATCAAATACATGAATAGTTTATCCAGAAGTAAGGAAAATAAAAGCAACATAACAATAATCAAAATTAAAAAGCCATATATACTCAATAACTTAAACATCAAGATATCATTCGCATAACAATTGCATTTTAAAGAGTGCAAAAGAACTGTAAAACATTTCCGGTTCCAAAAAAAAAATTGTAAAAAATTAAAATACATATGATGTATTTATCTTATAACTGTTTCAAAACATATTTAAAGTGCACAAGTTGCATTCCATATAATGCAAAACATTGTTACCAAGAAGATATTCACAACATAGGTCATGTTTAAAGGCTTCAAGAAGTTTCATTGCAGTGCCTGAAAAGTATCTATAAAGTGCTTTTGAAATTAAATTTTAATTGAGACACAATGAAGAAGTGTCAAACACAATTTTAGGAGTGTTTACAGACCATCGTATCCAATACAGGTGTTTGACACGAAACGTCTCCTCCATAGCAGTGTTTGTGCTTCTTAGAGTATGTGTGTCACCTAGATATGTAGGATATATGTCCAACAACTGTACCTAATTTAGACACTTGGATACTTTATTTTTATATGATGTTTGGGGAAGAAAAACTCATTTGTTAAGATGGGAGGGAGATATTTCATATTTTTCCAAAATCCTATTTAATTTCAAGTGCATTTCTAAATAATTTATATGATTATATCTAAGAATATTATACAATATGCAACATTTATATCCCTCCCAGGCCCCCATCAACTAAGGACTAAACTGGATGTACTCTTTTTATGCAATATACATGTGTTCAACACATATTCTGATTCCCATACATAATTTTTGGATACATACACACCCCCTACGTCCTTCAAACGGGAGTAAATTGTGAGATTTTAGGTAACCAAACATGATTTTAGTTATTTTACGACTAAAGTACCCTTTAGCAGCAGGTTAATTATACAAAGAACCCCTAGACTATCATAAAGTATCACTTTATCCCCCCTTAACTATCATGAAGTATCACTTTACCCTCCTGAACTATGAACACATACAATTAGGCCCTTCAACTATCTAAATCTCACACACCCTTTGAAATGACCAAATTATCCCATTTTTTCTATATCTCGCACACCCTTTCTCTCTTTGAAGTCCATTATAAACCATTATAATTTTTTTATTATTGGACCTTTTTTTTTTCTTTTTTTTTTAAATGGAGTTGGGAGATGGTGGGATAGAACTAGGGTTTCTGATAAAAAATTTGCAATGATTTCTAATGGACTTCAAAGAGAGAACAAGTGTGGGAATATAGAAATCAGGGGAAATTTGGTCATTTAATTGTTCCTGTTAACGACAGCAGACATTTTAATAGTTGAAGGAATTAATTGTACACTTTTATAGTTCAGGTGTAAAGTGATATTTAGGCTTCGTTTGGCATGCAACAGTTTTAGCCTAAAAGTCAAAAAATTATTAAAAAAATCAAAAAGCCAATAGCCTATATCAAAAAGTCAAAGATTCTATTTTCTCTCTACTTTTTGCACATTTTTTCGTAAAAAAAACTAAAAAATCATTCCAAACATTCTCGTTTTTTTTTCTCATATTTTAGCCAAAAAAATCAAAAAATTACTTAAATAGCCTATTCCCAAACGAGGCCTTAATGATAGTTAAAGAAGTGAAGAAATACTTTATGATAGTTCATGGTTAAAATGATAAAGGGGTGTGGGAGATCTTAGTAATCAAATGTGTTTCATTAACACCGTTTAAGGATTTTTCCCATATTAATAGTTTAGGGGCTAGTCTGTATCTTTTCTTTTGTTCAAGAGGTCAGAGTGATACTTAACAATAGTTTAGGATGTCTCTGTAAATACCCCTAAAAACAAAACCAATGCAAAAACGAAACGATTTTCTGAGAAATGCACTTGATCAAATCAAAAAACCCCAGACCTTCCAGAATCCAGTAAACAGGACAAAATTTTTCCAAATGGTTCGGGTTCAAATGCGGTTTCTCCAATACCAAACAGAACATTAGAGTTACCCATTTGAAGATTGAAAGGTATAATTATCTGGGTATGAGAAAAAACAAACTCCATAGTTCTTTGGCAGTGACTTGGATGCCTCAAAAGAATCAATCCGGGTTCGAAAATTTGGGGTTTTACCCTCATCTGGGGTCCAAAAAGATTGTTCATCTTCATAAATAAGCATCAAAAAGATGATATAAAGATGTAAACTAATCTGATCAGAGAATTGTGTAAAATGCACTTGCACAACTTGAGTTTACGTCCCCAAAATACAAAACCTAGAAACCTAAAAAAATTATAAACCCAGCTTATAAAGATGAAAAGGAACACAATGCAATCAATCAGAATCAAATTTCAGTCACAAAAAAAAATCTGATATTAAATTACATATCACCAATTAATGAGCAAAATCAACATTGCTTGCATAGAAATACACACATACCAAACATGCAGCAATCAGAAATGATAAGATATCACATACAATTATGAAGAATAAAGAACCAACCTTTTTTCAAGAAAGATTAATCAAATTGGATCACGATCGGTGCTTCACCGCCATTGTTATTGTCTATTTATTGCTCAAAGGAGACAGTGAAGAGAGTGAGGAAGACAGAGAAGATATATGTGTGTGTGTGTGTGTGTGTGTGTAGGTTGAGAGAGAAAGAAGAGAGAACACGCACAGAAAGTGAGGGAAAATTTTGAAGTTTTGGTGATGGCTGGAAATGATCGGGCCGCCCCCAAGTTTGATAAACAGGGACGCCCTTTCCCTCAGCCTCCGATTCCGAGACTTTCAGAAAACTCTTCGATCACGTTCTTCAAAAGCGCGTGCAACTCGAATGCCTAGGAACACTCACGTGTAATGTTGACAAAAATTATGAAATTGTTTATAATTTTTATTATTTTAAAGATAAATCTATACTATACATTAAGGCCAAGTTTGAAAAGATTAAGGTTAAGTTTGGCATGTCTTGAAAAAGATAAAAAGTCAAAAAGTCACTATCATATTTAAGTCACATCATCTTATTATCACCTCTCTAACACATCACTTCAAACCCAACCCAAACTCAACTCATATTTCATAAAAAGTCAAAAAAAATCATTCCAAACAACTCCTAAATAAGTGCACTTTTTGACTTTTTATGAAATATGTGTTGGATGCGACTTAAATGAGATAATGTGACTTAAATAGGATAGTGACTTTTTGACTTTTTGAATTTTTTGGAAGATGCCAAACTTGGCCTAAGTAAATAAGAGTTTTTAATCCTCAAGGCTTGTGAGAGTTTCATTATTCAAATCTGAATTTTTAAAAATTTTTATTTAAAAAAAAAAAACTCAGTATTTATTGATTTGGTCAAAATCACCTGATCATTTATTAACTTTTTTTCAATGCACATGTCTTTCCACTCCACATGTCTTTCTACATAGCTGTATTTATTGATTTGATCAAAATTCCCTGATCAGCATTTAAAATCCCCTTATACAAATAATTATAGATACAATCCGTATATAGCTACTGTAGTACCCTTTTCAACTTCTCTCATATATTATGATTAGGGAAAAAAATGTTAAATTATTTTTATAAAAAATCTTTAAAAACATAATTTATATAATAAAAAAATCTAAAATAAATATAAATATCTATAATTATTCCGTGCATAGCACGGATGATAGGCTAGTTATAAATACACTAAAATACGATTTGTTTTTTTTATTGTTTTAGAAGTTACATCTATGGCCAGTTCGGGACACTCAAAAAAATTTAAAAAATCAAAATATTATTTAAAAAGTCAAAAAATTATCACTATTCACCCAAAAAAATTAATTTTACACACAAATAATTACAATTCAGTTTGAACCGTCCCACAGACGATTGTTAAGTTGCTGAAATGATTTGGAAAAATTACACAGGCAAGGTGCACAAACAACACAGTGTTGCTCAACCCGTGGGGACCCATCATGGGTCCCGTTTTGATAATCTGAACCGTTTAATATGTAGAATTCGTCGAGTACTATATACCTATAAAAAATCACGTTGATCAGATATCGCTAACTACATGATTAAATCAGTTTTGTATAAAAAATGGATGGTGTTATAGTTAACGGTCGAAAAAAAATAATCCGATCAGATAGCTATCGATATCCGATCAACATGATTGTTTACAAACATATAGCACTCGACGAGTTCTACACATTGAACAGTTAAGATTATCAAAATGAGACCCGTGATGACCCCCACGGACCAAACAACACCGTTTAGTACAATACCCAAAAAGTATGCAACCATTTCTTATCATCAATTCACTCCTCTAGACGGTATGGCCTACTGCCTACTATTCTTATCTTCTCCTATACACTAATTTATACAATTTTTTAATACACATTTTTTCGTAAAAAGTCAAAAAATGTACTTATTTAGGACATTCTAAACAACCCCCTAATTTTTTGAAATTTTTAATTTTATAACAAATATTATTTTTATTAATAAATTATTAAGTCAATTAATAATTTTTAATGACTTTAATAATTTATTTCAATAAATAATTTAAGTAATTTTGTCATTGTATAAGAACACAATTAAAAATTTCATTTTAACAATTAATTCTACTAAATAAAAAATTCTGATAAACAAGTATTTTTTATTTTTCAAACCATATGGGTCAACTTATATTTTAAACAAAAACTTTAAGTGGGTGTATTTATAATTTGTCCTTTTTTTTAATAATAATAATTTGCAACAGGAGTGTTGGCCCAATTTTAATTTAGACAGAAATAATCTTAAAAAAATTATAAAAAAAAAAACATAAATTAGTGGAATGTAAAGAGAAAAAGTGTAGACAGGAGATTATCATAGTTGGAGGTCCGAATAAGGTGTCAGTTTATTAACAAACCAATGCTGCTCAGTGAATTTGTTGGAAAAGGAACTACAGTGGAGGATAAAGCTTCAAGAAAGTTGATCTGGTCTCTTCATGTGAGGAAAATGTCTATTGACACTACTAATTTACCCTCCTTTTTTCCTAAAGAATTTTTTACTGAAGAATTTTCCATCAAACTAACAGAACCCAAGGAAACATTCCCACTAATGCTCTCTCTCTTTTATTAATTTTTTTCTTTAGTAATCTTTTTTTAAAATTTTATAATATTTTATGATTTTAAATTTTACTTTATTAGACGGTTTAAAAATTACTAAATTAACTTCAACCTTTCATTTATCACCGTTTTGGGAGGTGCCCGTCAATTTACCTAACACACTATACACTACAAGAAAAGGGATTATAAAACACGGAACCTTTTTGCAACGGCGCGGTTCCCGTAGCAAAAAATGACCTTTTGCGACGGCAGTTTAAACCGCTGCAAATAAATAGTTTTTGCGACGGCAGTTGTACCGTCGGTAATAAACCTAGACGAAAAGTGTGATAAATACGGAAGTATTCGCGACAGCACTATAAACCGTCGCAAAAATAAATTTTTTGAGACGGCAGAAGTTTGCGGTCTCAAATATTGGACAATTTATGACGGCAAATGTCCGTCGCAAAATAAAACGGCGTCGTTTTTATCTATTTTTATTTATCATTTGCGACGGTGTAAATGTACCGTCGCAAAAAGTAATAAACAAAATTCTCCCGCTTCCCCATTGTTTTTGGTGCTCGATGATTTCGATCCTAAATTCCTAAATCTTTGAAACAGATTTTTTTTCCCCAAAATCCCCAAACAAGCAACGAGCGACGAACGGCGACCAAGCTCAATTGTTGTCGACAACGGCTTGCGGTGGTGCAACGACGGCGTATTACGGCTAGCGGTGGTGCGGCGTCTTTATCTTTCTCTCGCACGAGCTCAATCAATCTCAAGCGCTCCTCTCTCACTCACTCAACGTATGCTCTCTCTCTCTATATATATACATATTTGGTGGAGCGAGGTTTGAACAGAGCTATTTCGGGTTGCCAATGTTTGTGGGACACGATGAAACAGAGCTGTTTTGGCCTGGAAGTTTCCGGCAATTTTTTTGTAGTGATATATATATGATATACATAAATTAAAGTGCCATAATCATCTGCTAATTAAAATAGTAGTTTGGTAAGTTTCATATGTACTATGATCATCTTTTTTGCCAAGTTCAGGTATTGGACATTTTTATGTATAGACTTCATTACATTTATTTGCAATTTTACAAGTCAAAGTTATTAAGCTTCCATATATGGAGTCCAAATCTTATTACTTTTTTTTTCTTTTCTAAAACTCTAAATCCCTTCAAATAAAGAGGATGTAGAATTTTATATGCAAACATCTAACTCTTTATCATTTACTGAAAACAAGTATGGGATCTAATGCCCATGTGGAATGGAGACAACAATTAGGTGCTTGCAAGGCAGAGGTTGGGGGTTCAACTCCTCCCAGGAACTAATCTAACTAACAACTGACCTTTGCTGATCCAAAAAAAAAAAAAGAGAAGTAAAGTGTGTGCCTTACCAAATGCGCCTCACCTCAAGCCGTTTAAGGCACACTGCTGCACCTGGAGCCTAAGTGCACCTTTTAAAACACTGGGTGGGTTGTCCTTAGCTTTTTATTAAAGATTATAGAAAATAATTGCTCCAAATGCCTTGGTTTTCTCTCGAACCTTTAAGGCTTTACCCCCTAACTGGGGGATTTTATTCTCTCTCTTTGCATTAGGAACACTCTCTCATTGGTAGTGACCCAACTTCGATGTATGGCAGAAAAAATGGGAGGTTTAGAGGTTTGCTTTAATTGGATTTTGGAGATTAAACGTAAATAAAACTGTAGTGTTTCTTGGGGTTTAGGAAGTAAGAAACCAAGAGTTTAGGAGATGATTGGAAGTTGTTCAAGGCACTGTAAACAGGACCCCAAAAATAGTAATCTTGCTGTTTTTTGGCCTTAAATGTGTTAGTTTTGTATAATTGGATGAATCATGAATATTTGATCTATGGGAGTTCAAGGGTAAGGAAATGTTATTCAAATCTGGTTTTAGGCTCTTCAATGTTTAAAAAGTAGAAAAATTAAGCCAAAGAAGAAGTTGTTCAAGGAATAAGGTGGCGGCCGTGGAAAACAGTGCATAGCATAGAGATGACAATCAGAGTGTGTGGGACATTGTGTGCAGAGACATGCAAGATTGGGAGGAGGATGGGTTGAGGGCCTTATATTTGATTATTTTGAATATAGAAGCATCTTTAACTATTTGACGTGATTTTGATTTTGATTATTATGCTTATATCTATGTTGGGTTCATGATTAGTACGAGTTCATTTTGATGATTGAAACATATAAGAAAGAGAAGGCTGTTACATTTTATGGTAAACAATTTCATGAAGCAAGTGACAGATTTAGAGTGGAGTTAAAATATTGGTAAAATATTGAAATATTAATTATTTTTCATGTGAACCAAACAATGGGAAAACATTTTCAGGTCCAACCAAACACAGGAAAGCAAGTCAACTTTCCAAAAAATATTTTCTGCAAAAAACATTTTCCCCTTAAACAAATGGAAATATTGCAAAAAACACAAAACTCAACTCTATGGAAATTGCTGTTGCAATTTGTCGTTACTGTTTCACGAGAAAGTCGTTTAATTCCTCAACTAACAACAATTGACACATAATAGAAGAAAACAATAGCTAGAAAACAAAGTACATCCCATAATTATTTTGATCTTCCTAAAAAGAAATAAATTTTGGTAAAACCATTAAAGTTGGTTTCTTTTTTTCTTTTTCTTATTTTCAGTACATGATTCAAGAAAATGGGTATAATCCAGTAAGTGATAAAACTGTAATAACCCTCGTCACTGTTTACCGAATAACCACTGATTACCGTTAAACTGAACTGATTATGACT